CAGAGAGGGGGCAGGAGAAGAAACACTGTACCTCTCTCCTCTGGTGCCCTCGTTTCCTGCCCGGTTCCTTGTTGTCTGAATCCTAGAAGCCGCCAGCAAGGGAGCCCTGGGATGCAGTCCACAGGGCTTGAACCCCAGAGCACAGAGCAGGCGTGGGGGTCTGAGAACGGAATCGATTTCAAGGGAAGAAACGGAAAACCCAGCACACCTCGTGTTGCCTTTGTTGTGTTTATCACCACCTGAAATAGTCTTTTTCCTGCATTGGCCGGTGGTTTACTGACCCTCTTTTCCACTGGAGGGTCAGCTCCACAAGGACAGGGAACTTTTCGCTTGGCCGCTGTGGGACCCACCCCAGTGCTGGGCAAGGTGCCTGGAACAGGGCAGATCTTCCATAACTCTGTGGAATGAAAGAATTAGGAGAGAATGAGAATCTGCATGAGGCTCAAGGTTCCTTCAGGCCAGCAGCTCTGTTGCTTAGGATTCCCTGGGCCATCTTCATCCCCCTTGGGTTCAGCCTGGGGATGCGCACCCCAGGACAGGGAGGGGATGTGTGTGCGTTCTGCCAGGTTGGAGGCTGACGTTGGCCCAGCAGGCTCCGTGGCCACGGTAGCCATGTAGGAATTGAGCCTAAGAGGTGGGGTGGAAGCCCAGAGCTCCCCTCTTCCCCTTGTCCTAGGCGGTAAGCTGCTGGTCCAGCTTTGGAAGGATGGCGGAGCTGGGAAGCTCCGGGCTTGGGGAGAAGGTCCTAGCATGGGCGAGGGGACCCTTCTTGTTTTCTTCCAGCCGCAGAGCCAGAGACTGAAAGGGGAAGAGAGAGTAAGCAAGAATGAGAGATGGGTTTTTTCCTCTCTTTGGGGAAGGTGACCCGTTTACATCGTATCTGGGGTCCCTGAAGTCCTGGGCGGGTCCTGGGAGCAGTTCTGGGAGGAGCCTTCCGCCATGTGGGTCCCATCACTTGGTGCATACGGCTGCAGGCTGTTCACTCAGGTCATCCATTCATTTGCTTAGCAGCTATTCACTGAGCACATACTATGTTCCAAGTTCTGGAGAGAACCATGAACCAGGCACGGGCCTGCCCCACCTGCACATGGCCCGCGTTTCCAGGGCTCCCTGGTATTACTCGCATCTCCCCAGCTGTTCTGTCACAGCGATGTGCTTGCTAAAACGTAACTTAAGAGAGGCAGTGGACTCTGTCGTGGGCGTTTTTCCACATTGCTGTGTCACAGTAGCTCCGAGCGGAGACCTTACTCTGGCAGCGTCGGCATTGCTCAGCAGGTCCCATGCGAGCGTTACTTGCATGACTCCGTGTGCCCTCCATGCCCTGCTGCTCACCGCTCAGGGTGCCCTCCCAGACATCCTTGGCATCCCTCACATGCTGCTTTACCTTCGCCAGGCCCATCTCCCAGGACCTGGATCACGCACACTCTTTACATTATCGAGTCCATCACGGGGAAGCGACTCAGTTCACTTTGACCTGGATCTCCCAAACTTACAGGAAAATACTGTCTGTGGTGACTGGTAGTGGTGGAAGCGGACAGTGTCAAGGGCAGAAGCTGGATCAGCAAAGGCAGAAACCAAAGCCCAAACGCTCTGGGAGCAGGAAGAGGCTTTGCAAAATGGCTGCGGCTCCTTGTAAATGATGTATGAAATGCAGACCATATGCTGTGAGCCTTCGTGCGCGGGAGCTTGGCTGGGTTCCCCGGTGTCTCCCTGCAGAGCTGTTTGCTGCAGCCCTGCGCTCCCAGCCCCCACCATTCTGGGAGTCCTCATCAGACCGCAGACCGTGGCAAGGTCACAGCCCCTCCTTCCTCTGGTCTCGTCCCAGGAGAAGGTGCCGCGCACAGCAGGTGCTCAACCTATGTGGCAAACATCGCTTCTGCCTACCCTGGTTCTTCGAAGCCCGAGCAGAGCTGGGGGGATGAGGGTTGTAATGAGTTGGGGACGTCATTGTGCCCAATCTTGGCGTTTCCCGGACGGGAAAGCCGAGCGCGAAGTGGGATGCGACCTCACCCAAGGTCACACGGGAGAAAGTGGCAGAGTCAGGGCTGGACCCTAAGTCTCTTGACCTCCATCCCGGGGGTTCATAATGAAAGCTAGAGGCAAAGGGCTTTGTTTCTCCTGGGTGGTTCCCAAATCTTTCGTTCTAGCTGTATGTTTTTGGGCAAGCCCCATAGCTTCTGCAAGCTTCTGTTTCCTCATCTGTCAAGTAGCATACTAATACAATTAGCGTTTTGTCACGGCTGGAAAAATTGTACACAGTGAGCCTGGCCCTGTGCTTGGCTCATCGGAGACATGCAACAAATGTTTTATCTCCAGTCCTGGGCTCTCTCCAAAGCTCCAGCAGCTGGTACCTAAAAGTTAAGATGTTAAAGAGGAAAAGCCGAACACTGGTCTGAACCTGTACGTCCCATTAGTGAGGCTGCCGTACTCCCAAGCACCTGGGCTGGAAAGCCCAGAGTCGTTCTAGTTCCATCCTGAGACCCCATCTCTGCTACATCCAAGCAGGCACCTTCCCTTGTCTCTCCCATCTGTCCCCTCCTCTCCACTCCCTACCCTGCTACCTCTGGCCTACCTGTTAGTCTCTGAATTAGTCAAGGTTTTAAAAAATTTTCAAGTGATAAAACTCCAACTCAGATGGGCTTTAGCATAAGAGGCAATTTATTTGTTCACGGCAACTGCATTCTTCCTGGTGCTCAGGCCAAAATTCTAGGCACCTTTCGTCCTTGACGCCTCTCTCTCTCTCTCATACCTCACTTTCCATCCATTAGCAAACCCTGTTGGCTCCGTCTTCAGGTTACATCCGGAATCCACGCTCTTCTCCCTCCCCCACCGCTGCTCTTCCAGTGCAAGCCACCACCATCTCTCACCTGGATGGTTGCAACAGCCTCTTACTGAGTCTCCTGCCCTTGGCTCCTGCTGTGGGTCTCTGCACAGCACCTGGAACTGTCCTTTTAGAGCTGAAGTCATATCACGTCACTCCTCTGCCCACAAGCCTCCAAGGCTTCCGCCATCACACAGAGTAGAATCCAAATCCTCCCCACTGGGCTCTCCACCTCCCTGACCTCCTCCTCCACAGCCCCCTCCCTCCTGTCTCCGGAATGTGCCAAGCACAAACCAGCCTCAGAGCATCTGCCGTTACCGCTCCTGCGGCATGGAAGGCTGTTCCTTTAAGTATTAGTGTGGCCCGTTCCAGGCTCTGCTCGGGTGTCCCCTTCTCAAAAAGGATTCCAGCATATCAGATATAAGCTTCGAGTGCCCTGCTCTGTTTTAGTTCTTGCACTCCTCACCGCCTGACATTCATTAGTTAGTTTATTGTACGTGTTCCTCCACTGGAGTGAAGCCCCCACGAGAGCTGGCATGCTGTGAATGCCTGGCACATACTAGGTGCTCAATAAAAAATTTTTGAATGAATGGATGGATACATGCCAGGTGCTATGCGGGGTGCTGTGGAACACAAAAGTAAACACAGCCGAGTGGTCCCAGCCCTTTATAGTTTGCTCTGCCTTGAGAGTGATGAATATTAAATAATTTTGATTTAATTACTATTAAATACATTAAAACAAATGATGATTTAATTACTATTGAGAAATATGCTACAGGGGAATAGCACTGATATGACAGTGAATGAACCAAGGGCCCTGAAGCAGAGGAAAGGGTGTAGGGTGAAGGTATATCTGGGGGGGTTTCCTTGAGAAACTGATATTTCAGGTGAGACTTGAAGGATGGGGAGTTGTCTCAATGAACAGGGAGGGGGAAAGCAGTCTGGGTGAAGGAAGAGCATGTTCGAAGTCTCTGACTGGGAAAAAGTCAGTGCTTTTATGGAACAGTAGGAAGCCGGGGTGACCAGGGCAGAGTGGAGGGGGAAGGGGCTGGAGGGACAGCGCTCAGGATGGGAGCGAGGCTGTGAGCTCCCTGAGGGCAGGAGCCTCTGCTCCTGTTTCACATACCTCCAGCCCAAGCTCAGTGCAACGGGGTGCCATGCAAGGAATGCTGGATAAGGAGTCCGCAGACCTGGAGTCTAACCCTTACTTGGTGTGTGTCCTTGTGCAAGTCCTATTGATTCTCTGAGCACATCTGTCCCTCATCTGCTGGCATAGGGACCAATGATAGAACCACGTCCTTCCAGGAACCTGCTCTGTATCCTGGGGTGCCCATGCAGCTGACCAGGTTGCCAGCAGCGAGGGTGTGAGGCTGGGTCTTGAGCAGGGGCTCCTGGAGACACTTGGAACTTTGGAAATGTCCTTTCCTGGACATCTAGGACACTATCCTTTGACAGGGCTGGAGCTTCCCCATCCACAGACAGTCAAAAAGAAAACAAAGCACCCTTCAGCTCGAGTCAGCCCCATCCATTCTTGCTCTCCACGACTTGGAAAGTCAGGGAACCGCGTCTCATTTGGTCCCTTCCTGTTTCCCCCAGAGGGATCTGCCCAAATGTCTGCCTGTCTCGGACACGGTTTACGTCTCCTATGGAAAGCGTGACGCTTACAGCGAAATGAGTTGCTTGCCTCTTGCAAGGCTCGATCGTAAAGGATGGCGACGACAGGCTCGAAGCAATAGGTCACGTTGATATTTTCACATTAGTTTTCTATTCTTATTACATTTTGATGGATGGAGAGAGCGGGGATTTTATCGTAATCTCATTCCTGTCTTAAACTGCTAATTCATGCCTGAGTTCCCTCTTCCATTTTGTTTCTACAAATTCAGTCAAGTGCTGATGGCATGAAGATTTAATATGCAGCTGCAGGAAGAGGCATGCGGATAGGAAAAACGTTAGCTGGGGAGCAACGTTTTTAAGAGAACAGTCTAATCAAGTCATTTTGTTATGAAAGTGCCTTGTTACCCTGGGAGGTTGGGCTCCCCATATATAATAGTAATAACTACATAACAACAGAACACTATCTTACACTCATACGGTGTTTTTTTTTTCCCCTCTAATCCTCCTAACAGCCCCATGTGGCTGGGAGGGTATAATTATTCCTATTATAGGCGAAGAAACTGAGACTCAGAGAAGGGAAGTGACTTAGACCAGAGCCTCTTCATCTCTTGCGTATAGAAGTGAATCACCGGGAGGTCCGGGGGAAGAGCCTGTATCTCGAATTCCCAGGTGAGGCACACTTTGAGTAGCAAAGATTTGATGATGTTTGTGTATGTGCATGTGTGGTTATGGGTGTTTTCATATATTCTGTGGCTTCCTTTGAACTGCCCTCTCCCTGACTATCCATTTTGGCAGCTAAAACCTCCTACTCACGGCTTCGCCAGGATCCTAGCATATTTACGGTCTCTCCCTCCCCAGGGTGTCCTGGTGTACCTCATTTGTCTGCCCACCTCCTCTCCCTCTGTCTTTGGTTTTTCCTTTCTCCTGGGGTGGATGTTTCATCTCAGTCCTGCTGACAAACCCACACTGTTCCCTGGACACCCAAGAGTTCTCAGCAGGGCCTCCTGCCTCCCATCCCTCAGCATTTGGAGCTATGGGGGCTGGGGGTTGATCCCACTGGCTGCATGGACCAGGGTACTACGTGATGGGTGAAAGAGCCCTTCAAATCAGGAACAAAGGAGAGACATGTAGGAATCATGGGGCCTGCAGGGCCTTCTGCGCGCACAGCGCTCTACAGTTACAAAGTGTTTTGGCAGCCATGCACACCGGATCCTCACAACCAACCCAGGAGCTCCCTCTTGGGACATGTGAAGCAACTGAGGCTCCGAGAACTTCTGTGACCTTGCCCAAGGTCACAAGCCACTTCGGGCAGAGCCTGAACTCTAAGCAGGTCTTCTGACCCCAAATCTGATGCTCTTAGCGGAGATCATCAGAAGTGCCTTGAAATACACCCGGGCCAGCTCTTTCTGGGGGCATTTACAGCTTTTTCTGCATTTTGGACCAGGAGCGGAAGTCACACCACAGAGCCCTTTCTGGCTGCTTCCTGCCAGCTTGCAGCATGGAGTATGAGTTCCGTCAGTGTGACCCGAGCTGGATGGCCGGTCAGGAGGCACGTGTGGCATGAAACCTTCAGGCAGATTCCCCTGCTTTCTCTGTCCCCTTCTAGTCTGTTCCGGGTTCTCGCTTCCTTTCAATAGCGTTCTCTCTCCTGCTGCTTTCTCTGTTTCTCTTTTTCTCTCCCCTTGTCTCTCTCTCTTTTCAGAGAATAAAAATGAGTGGACTTGGCATTATCTGTTGGTTTCCATGGTAATAAAATCTGTTTCCGATAATGGTCCTTCCCTGGCTGTGGTTAGTTTTGGTAATTTTAGCAACACTGTTGCACAGGCCACCTGCATTTCAATACGATGCGAGCTGGATTCGACTGCCGCTTTCAGGTTGAATAGAAATAAGGGAAAGTGCTTGCTCTCGAATTTCTAGGCTGGATAAATGCTCGAGAAGAAAAGGAAAAGTTATGTAAACCCTGCAAGCTTGAACGTGAGCGCAGCTTAAGACACGAGTGTGATCATGTCACTTTCTTGCTTAAAAGTCTCCCTTTACTGCGAACTCAGAGCTGGCAGGGTGAGTCCAGAACTGACCCCTAATCCCCCGTTCTGTCTTGTCTCCGGGCCTCTCCTTCTCTAAGGCTTTGGCCTTAAAATGATGTTTCTTGCCTTTGAGTCTTTGCATACGCTCTTCTATCTGCCTGCAATGCCTTTTCTACCTTGGGCTACCTGGTGAGCTCCTACTCAGACTTCAAGAGTCCGTCCAAGCACGCCCACATCCCCTCCCTCAACATCTTCCTTTTTTAGGCTTTCCCGTAACTTGTACATTCTTCTATTATGCAAACATATCCCACCATATCAACATTTCTGTTTCTTTCTTTCTCGTCCATGCCTGAGTGAGCTCTTCAAGAACAGGGATGCCTGTTGAGTTCAGCTGTGTGGCTCCAGGACCTGGCACATAGCACGTACTCAGTGAAATAAAAATATATATGGTAACAGCTACCAAGGATGGCTCACTTTCTCCATGTGCCAGCCACTCCACTAAACACTGTATGTGCATTTTCTCACTGCCCCTCACTCTCCTGATGAGTGACCATGGAGGTACCGTACCCTGTGAGGTACCATCATTCTCCCCATTTTACAGAGGAGCAAACTGAGGCTCAAAGGGGTCAAGATACTGGGCGCAGATGACAGAGTTGGTTAATGGAATGCGAAGAAGGATGAATTCAGGTGGAACATTTGAATGACTGGCTCTGAGCTCATGGCCTCCTTTTGAATCTGTAGGAAGATTTTCTTGGAAATCTTTAGGGGGAGCTGTGAGGGCTTTGGTTGCAGGCAAAAGTGGTTCTTGTCTATGTATGGCACAGTGGGGAGGAGGGGGTGGGGGGTGCTGGAAGGAGGGAGGATGGGAGGGGAGCACAGATGTGAGGGAGCTGCATACACAGATTTTGCTGATGCTGCGAATGTCCGGGGAACTGTCAAGAAGACCTGGGGTAAAGGGGCTGGAGCCTTGAGCAGCCCAGCCGGAAAATGGGCTCTCACCTCAGCCCTTGAGCCAGTCTTGACTCCTCTCGGGGGGTTAGAGAGGGTCTGATGTGTGTCTGGGCCCCATGAAAGATTAAGATGGGCCAGCATTGTCAAGATGCTGGGAAGGTGAAGGTGAGAATAGAAAACACAGGGACAAGTTGGAAGACCACTCAGCTTCTTTCTGCTGACAGCCGCCTGCCTTGCCACCTGGACCGGCTGTGCTCTGATTCGTGTGTAAGCCCAGCCCACGGCTCCCTCAGGACCCGCTTAGTGGCGTCTGTACTTGGAGTTAAAATGGTTCCAGAGAAGCACTTAGTTGGGCCTGAGCCTACAAGGGGGGCCTTGGGGACACTCAGAATGTTGGTTTTTTTTTTTAAGTGAGTCGTCGCCTCTACCCCTCTCAGTCCTGCAGGATTGTGGCAGGAGTTTGCTGCAAAGCATAGAGCCCAGGACAAAGCAGAGCCCTCGGCTCTGTTCAGGGTCAACCAGGATGGGGCCTGCAGGGCCTTTCCACAGATCAAGGTCTGCAGGAGGCTGAGGGCAGTGGAGGTGGCTCCCGCCCAGCCTCTGGCTTCACAGGGACTGGAGTTGAGCCAGACTCTGTCCCCAACCTCCCTCACCACACAGTAATGGAGAGCAGTCTGATGTTCCTTCCACATTTGCCTTTATGTGAGATTGGGTAAACTGACTTCAGAGGCTCTGGAAGGAGAGATGACAGGAGGTGATTATTAATAATAACAGCCAATGCTTATATAGCGCTTACTACACGACAGTGAAGTCCTAATATTGTTCCCATTTTACAGGTTAGAAAACTGAGGCACAGAGAGGTTAAGTCATTTGCCCAAGGTCTCACACACACATGGTGGAGCCAGGATTTGAATTCAGGTTCACGCTCTTTTAACTACCAGGCAAGGAGTGACTGGCGGAAACACAACCAGAACCTTGAAGAACATTCGATCAATAACATTTGTGAGCACCTTCCATGGGCCAGCCTGGGCTCCGCTGTGATGATGGGAGGGTAGGATCCCAGAGGAGGAGAGGCCGGTTCCAGCCTCCAAGGATGCCTGCCGGGCTCTCATGCCCCTTGGATGAGTTGCAGGCTGATGGGGCTGGGAACCCAGTAATGACCTGGAGCTGAGTTTTGGGATCGCAGACCAGGGTTTGATTCCCAGCTCCATTACTTTCTACTTGCATGGTCTTGGGTAAGAGACAAGGGTGCCTCCTAGCTTGGGTCCTTCTTCTGCCAAATGGGAAACACTTATTTCATGACGGCTCTCCTGCAGGCTGACCTGTGTTCCCCAGAGGTGATAAACGGCTTAAGGTTTTATAAATGTACTGATCTCCCCAGAGGAGAGGGAGTTTTAGAAAGTACACATTCTAGAAGGAATAGCCACTTTTACTCAATGTGGGGACCTTGAGCAGGGACCTCTTATAGGCACCTCTTATAGGCATACTCCCTGCTCCCTATGTGCCCCGCTTCCACCATCGAGCCTTTGTCCTGTGCATCAGGAATCACTTCTCTGCTTTGCACATAACGATGTCAGTAACTATGGAATCAAGACGTGGGCTTGGAAATAGGACATTTGTTGAAATGGCCTCTTGCAGGCCTGCCCAGTCTGGGACTTCTCAGATTCAATTTAGATAAACTTGTAATTCTGGCATCAGGAAGAGCTGTTTAAAGTTATCCTTCTTTACTCCCATTTTGCAGGAAGTAAAACTGAGGTACCTGGAAGGCTGGGCCAGCCGGTGGTAAGTCTGGAAATTCTGACTTGCAATATGGGACACGCCTCAGTCCTTGCTCAATATTTTGCCTCAAGCCCTGGGAGGAGTTTGACTCAAAGGAATCACCCCAAAGATCCAGAGGAGGCAGATGCTCCCCCCATCCCCCCATGACTCCCAAGCTTCCTCTCCCCTGAGCTGGGCCTTCCCTCTGTTGGTCCATGATTCCTGCTTTCCCCCCATGACTCCCAAGCTTCCTCTCCCCTGAGCTGGGCCTTCCCTCTGTTGGTCCATGATTCCTGCTTGGCAGATGCTCTGAAATGGTCTGCCTGATCCGCTCCCAAAGTAGCACCTCCACATCATACAGGTCAGAGCTAGAAGGGCATCCTAGAACAAGAGGGGAAACTGAGGCCCAGAAAGAGGAAGAGGCTTTGCCCAAGGTCACTCTCCTAGCGTCCTCAGTAAGTCCAGATCTCTCGCCGATCTCCTAAGCTGATCTTTACGAAAGGACAACGGCACCCTAATTCCTCTTCCCGTCAGGTAATAACTGTCTTGTTTAAACTGCCTCTAGGATTAGTCAAACAATCAGAGATCACAGCCAACAGCTGCCCTGTTCTCTCATTACCGGGTACCTATAATTAATATTTATAAACCAAGAGGGTGCTTGTCTTTCTTTGCTGAAAAGGAATTCAGTATTTCCAGTCTGTGACTGCAAACATAAAGCCTCTTGTTACCTGTCAAGGTGGACCACTTCAGTAGACGCACTTGTAATTGTAGCTGGCAGAGAACAGGACCCGGGGAGTGGGGAGGCGTTGGACAGAACCTTGGGGTGGGTGTGGAGGGGGGTGGGGAAGGGAGACCGGCTGGGAAAGGAGACAGAGATACAGAGAGTGCTAGAGTCACAGAGACCTAGAGACACAGAGAAAGAAGAAAATAAAAAGCAAGAGCAAGAGAGAAAGGTGGATTTAGCCAGAGACCCAGGTGGAGTCAGAGGTGGTGGTGCGGGGCTCCGGAGAAACAGGACGGGGGGAGGCAGAGACAGAGACGTGCACACAGGAGACGGGCAGACAGACACACAGACAGAAAGATACAGAAAGGGTCAGAGGCAGAGAAAAGATAGAACAAAAGAGAAAACATAAAGAGGCCGAGGAAAGACGAAAGTGAGAGAACAAGAGAGGGAGAGAGGGCAGAAACTCATTGAGAGCAATAGGATGAAGACAAAATACCCAGAGAGAGTCAGAGAGAGACAGAGAGACCACGGGGTGACCTGGAGAGAGAGGCACACAGAGCAGAGTGACTGGCGGGGAGGCAGAGGCAGTCACAGCTCTCGGTCCATCTGCCATCCAGTAGGCGGCACCTGGCACAGAACCTGCACATAGTAAAGCATTCAGCCAACCCACACACGACCTGGCGCCTGGTTGCTCCCCCAGCACAGATCCTGGCATAAGCTCCCCAGTACAGGACCTGGCACCTACTAGAGATGCCCCTCCCCCAGCACAGATCTGGCCTATGGTAGGTGGCCCCCACTAGGGGTGGGTGGGACATGGTGTTTCCCTGGTGGGCTGGTGGTTAAGACTCAGGGTTTTCACTGCAGGGGGTGTGGGTTCAATCCCTGGTTGGGGAACAAAGATCCTGCATGCTGCGTGACAAAGGAAAGAAAGAGAGAGAGAGGGAGGGAGGGAGGGGGAGAGAGAGGGAGAGAAGAAAGGAAGAAAGAAAGAAAGAAAGAAAGGAAGGAAGGAAGAAAAGGAAAGAAAATCCATAAAGGAATCCATTCCAGCCTCCAAACCTTTGCCTTGTGATCTATCCTGCCTGTGACCAGCAGGGGGCAGTGGAAGGAGCTCTGGGCTGGGAGTCAGGAAATCCAATCCTGACTCTGCCACTGAATGGTTGACTTGGACAAGTCTGTTTACTTCCTCCTGCCTCTGTTTCCCCAGATGCTGTGGGGTGGTGGTGGCGTGGGTTGGTTCCAAATGGTCTCTCAGGTGTAGGATTCCATGACTTTAGACCCTGCCTCCCTCCTGTCTTGTACCCCGCTCAGATGGCCCCTCATATTGCAAATGCAGCCGAGCCACTCTTCCCGGGCCCCTGGGTTGTGGGCCAGCCATCCTGGCAAGGACAGGGCTCTTCCTGGGGCTTCCTGGGGCTCTCTGATTTGCACATCAGAGCTCAGGGAGGGATTTTAGCGGCTCATGCCCCCCGGCCTTGGTGAAGCTGATGGAGAAGAGGAAGCAGCAGCAAAGAGGCAGCCTCGAACGTGGGGCTCTCAGGAGCTATGAACTTGGCCCTGTGAAAGTGGATGCTACCTGGTTATTTATGAGGGCTGAGGCGAGGTGGTGTGTGTGAGAAGGAGGAAAGGTGGAGGGAGCAGGACTGGGAAGCTGGGAGCTGCCATGCTTAAAGGAGAACCAGGGACCTTGGAGGCAGGTGCTGAAACCAGCCCCTTTATTTTACAGATAGAGAAAAATGCTACATAACAGAGCACCACCAAAACTCAGTGGCTTCAAATAAGTCATTTTTGTTTATAGGTTTGTGGGTCAGCTGATCTGGCCTGAGCTTGGCTGGGGGCAGCAGCGCATCATGTGTCTCCCCTCCTTCTCCTGAGACCCGGGTATGTCCTTTTCATGGCCGTAGCAGAGGTAAGAGACAAGCAAAAACACACACGTCCTCCTGAGGCCCAGGAGAGAACTTGGAGCCAGCTCGCCCCCGCTTCGACCTTATGCTACTGGCTGAAGCAAGTCGCCTGGCCAAACTCAAATGAAGAGATGGGGCAGCACACCCCACCCGCAGTGAGAAGGCACTGCAGAGTTCATGGCGAGGGCATGAATAAAGGAAGAGGCAAGGAGTTGAGGCCAATGATGTGATCTAGCAAAAGCACCTACTCTGTGCAGGCACTGTGCCCAGAGTTAGGGATTCGAAGTAAACAGGACAAAGGGGCCACCTCACGGAGCTTGCAACAAACATGTGAATAATGAATAAACAATAGAATCACAGATCGTGAAATTAAAATGAAGGAAGTCACAGGGGGTGGGATGGGGAGAAACTGAGGCATCCGCTTTGATGTCTGGGACAGCCTCTCAGAGGAGGTGGTGTTCGAACAGAGTGAAAGGGTAAGAATAAAGAGATGGAGGAAGAGTGTCTCAGACCCAGGATACAGCAAGTGTAGACTTCAAATTTGGTGCTCTCTCCAAGCTACCCTGCTGCCTCCTAGGGGGAAGGAGCCTGGGGATTCTTAGGGTGACCCCTTTTGTCCATCAGCATGGCCACCGTCCTCATCACCTCTGTCTGGATGACTAATAACTCCCCAACTGGGCTCCTACATCTGAACTCTCTCCTTCCAATTGGTACACCCCCCATCACAGAGCCCCTTTGTGAACCATGAGTCTGACTATGTCATGCTTTGCTCAGAGCCCTTTAAGGGCCCCTGAGGGCCTATAGGACGCAGTCCAAGGCCCTGAACCTCGGATTTTAGGCTCTCTCCAAATCAGCCCATCACCCCCCCTCCCCAGCTTTGTTTCCTGCCCCATCTTCCTTGCTCCTTTCTCTCCAACCAGACCAAACTTCTTTCTAAAACCTTCCCCGCACTCTCTTGTCTCTGTGACTCAGCCTGTATCACTCGTCCCTCTTGTCTGTCTGGCTAACTCCTACTTTTCCTCCAACAGCCACCTCCCCCATCTGGGATCCCACAGGGCCCGGAGCAGCCTCTGGTGTAGCTCTCGCCATGCTGTGTTGAAGCCATCTGCGGAAAGTGCTAGAGGCAGCATTGGAGCCAGTGAGTTCAGTGCCCTTTTCACCACACCAGCTGCCTCGAGGGTAGGGGAACTCAGGATGGCTTTGGATGACCCCTATCCCAATACCAGAGTCTGTGTCTTCAACTGGATGGCAGGCTCTTTCAAGGTTGGGGCTGCATCCTACCCATCTCTGTGTCCCAGTTGCCAGCCTGAGGACTGGCTGTCCCAGAGGAGGGATCAGCTGGTGTTTGGTGTGACTATACGAAGGCACTGGTGTGTTTTGGCGTAGCACCATGGGCTGCCCGGAGGAATCTCTTCATCCTCTTTCCGGCTGGAAACTCCATACTCTGTCCTCTACGCTCTGGTCCAGGGGGCAGGCAGGGTTTTAGGGCAGGTAGCAGGGGAGAGAGGTAGGGCTCCTTTAGGAAACAAAGAGGCCTGCCAGCCCCCCAGGCAGGCACTGGCTGAGGAAGATCTCCACTTGCCTTCAAGTCTGAGACAGCAGAATTCTGGGCCATGGTCATGGGTGGGAGAGAAGCTGAGTCTCTGCCAGCTTTAGGGGCAAAACTTTCAGCGAGAAGCAGAATGCCTGGCACACAGTGGGGCTCCATGATGTGCTGAGTGAACTGCAGGAAGATCTATGAATACTTACGAGCCTAAAGCCTGCTTCTCAACCTTGACATTAGAATCACCTGGGGGAGTTTTAAAACACACCAGAGCCTGGCTCCACCCTGGACCAGTGAAGTCAGAATCTGGGGTTGGGGCTCAAACACACCATTTTCCAAATAGTCCTATGTTAATTAAGGTAACCTTAGATCTGTAACAGACAAAACTTTACATCTTTTTAAAAAATTTATTTTATTTATTTATTTTTGGCTGCGTTGAGCCTTTGTTGCTGCGTGCGGGCTTTCTCTAGTTGCATAGAGAGGGGCTACTTTTCGTTGCGGTGCGAGGGCTTCTCATTGCGGTGGCTTCTCTGTTGCGGAGCACAGGCTCTAGGCACGAGGGCTTCAGTAGTTGTGGCGCTCGGGCTCAGTAGTTGTGGCACGCGGGCTCTAGAGCTCAGGCTCAGTAGTTGTGGCGCACAGGCTTAGTAGCTCCGCAGCATGTGGGATCTTCCCGGACCAGGGATTGAACCCATGTCCCCTGCATTGGCAGGTGGATCTTAACCACTGAACCACCAGGGAAGCCCAGACCTTTACATCTTAATGGCCTAATGCAGGAGAAGGATTTCTTGCTTACGTAAAGTCCATTCTGCCTGGGGGTGGTTTTCTTCCCTGTGGTCATTTAGGACCCAGGTGAGGGAGGCTCTGGCATCCTCAGTTCATGGTGTCCAAGGTCATCTGGGTTTCAACATCTAGTCAGCAGATGGGGAACGAGAGAGTGGAGGATTGCTTGGGAGGATTTTTATGGGCCAGCTCTAGAAATGATGCACACGACTCCCACCCACATTCCATTGGCTAGAGCTCAGTCAGTGGTCCCATCTACATGCAAGGGAAATTGGAAAATTTAGTCCTTGGCAGGGAGGCCACTTCCTAGCCACCCGAGGAGGGAGTCATAAGTCTTGGTAGCCAGCTGGCCACTCTGTCACAGCTTCCCAGGTGATTCTAATGTGTAGGCAGGGATGAGAAGAACTGGTCCAGAGCTTCACGACTTGATCAGAATATGGTTCCAAATCCTCGGCACTCAGTCTAGTGTGATGGAGCTGTAGATGAACACCCTCCTAGGTTGCCATGCCTTCCAACATCATGCTGTTTCTCCCAGCCCAGCATATAGGATGGGTGGGAACCTGCAGAGAATCTCAGGAGGCCGCCCTCCTCCCCTGGGGAGGTCCACACAAGGGAGTGATGGGAGGTGAGGATGACCCCAGAAGGGTCAGCCTGGGAGGCTTGGCCTCTGCTCTGAAGCTATCAAAGATCTGGAGGTGGGCAAGTGGCAGGATGGAAGCGAGCTTTAGGAGGATTAATCCGGTTGTGCAGAAGCCTGGAGGAGGTGAGGCTACAGGTCCGTCGTGTTTGGACCAGGCTCTCTGAATGGTCCTGCCTGGTCCGGGGTCTCTTCAGTGTCCAAGAGAGTGACGGCCATGGGTAGGAGAGAAGCTGAGCCTCCGCTGGCTTTAGGGACAAACCCTTTAGGGAGAATCAGAGTGCCTGACAGATAGTGGCGTTCCATGGTTTGTTTCCAAGAGGAGGAGATGGAGCCAGCCTCCTGCTTTACGTCTAACGTGCCCCCCTTCTCCTTTGACTCTTTGTGATTGGCCATCCTGAGACTATTCAGAGGAATACATTATAGACTCTGGAAGCAATTCTACAAAACTAATTTCTAATGTTTTATGCCATGGGGGTGCCGTGTAAGAACGATTTAGTCTCCCAAGGGGATACTTTTGTGAGGGAAACACTCCTTTGTGTATACAAGGTCCGGTGTTTTTGTAAGGGGGAATAAGTACTTCGTAGTTAAATGTATTCACTCATTTATCTAACAAATACTTATGGAGCCCAGGTCGGATGCCAGGCCTTGGGGACACAACAGTGAGCAGGACAGGCTTAGAGTTCCTGGCCCTCAAGGAGCTCGTGGCCTTTCTCTCCTTTGCCTTAGACTCAGAAATGTGTTCTTTTGCAGATGGTTCTTCCTGTTCTGAAATGCCCATTACCGAGCCCCATTTAGGCCTATTCAAACTCAAGCCATCCTTTGATAGAGAACTAATTGGAACATAGACACAAAGGTACCTTTACATTGTGTGGAGTAAACCAAACAATTTCCTCTTGAGAAAGTGTTTGTAGGGCATTCGGGCTTTGAAAATTTTGCCCAAAGATGGTGAAAGTCACAGGACTAGTTTTCGTGGAGGCAATGGTTTGTTTGTGACATTCCATTTCAGTCAGACTTAATAGTCTTAGCAGTTTAAAAAAAAGGATTTTATTGTGTTTCTGACTATACAAGTAATATATAAAAGTAGAATATTTGGGAAACAAAGAAAGTAGGAGGGAGAAAATAGTGATCACCCATAGTCTTACCTTTGAGAAATAACCAGCAGTAACACTTTGGTGTTTTTCCTTCCAGTTTTTTCCACTAATGCTTACATTAAAAAAAGTCACTATCAAAACATTACATTATAATCATTGTCTCCTTTTATTACCATTTGCTATAAGCATCTTTTTTTTTTTTTTTTTTTCAGTACGCGGGCCTCTCACTGTTGTGGCCTCTCCCGCTGTGGAGCACAGACTCCGGACGCACAGGCTCAGCGGCCATGGCTCACGGGCCCAGCCGCTCCGCGGCATGTGGGATCTTCCCGGACCGGGGCACGAACCCGCGTCCCCTGCATCAGCAGGCGGACTCTCAACCACTGCGCCACCAGGGAAGCCCTATAAGCATCTTTTAAAATGACATCTTTTGAATTTGAATACATGCATATCATAATTTTCAACTAATTTTCTATGTGAAGCATTTAGGTTGTTTCTGGTGTTTTGATATTATAAGCAATGCTGTGCTATACATCTTCATGGATGAAGTTTTGTCTGCTCCTCTGATTATTTCCTTAGTATTGATTCCTTTAGAAATTTAGAGCTAGAAAAAACAGCCAGACAATTCACAAGATGTGCAGATAGCCATAAGCACATGAAAAGCAGTACAAGATCGTTACCCACCATAGAGATGCACATTCAAACCACAATGAGATTACGTGATACGCCAGATGGATAAAATTAAAAAGACTAACAGCATCAAGTGTTGGCAAAGATAAGGAGCAACTGAACCTCTCATACATTGCTGGTGCAGTTGAAAATGGTGCAACTATTTTGGAAAATGGTTTCTCCTGAAGATAAACACAGACATACACTATGGCCCAGAAATTTTACTTCTAGGTCTGTACTCAAGAGAAATGAGTGTGTGTGTCTATAAAAAATATATACAAGAATACTCATAGCAGTTCCATTCCATCGTAGCCACACACTAGAAATAATCTAAATACTCATCAATAGTTAACTGAATAAGTAAATTGTAGTTCTTTCACACAATGGAATATTATACAGCAACAAAAAGGAATAAACTTCTGGTACATGCAAACATATGGATGAATCTCATAGGTATTAAGTTGAGTGAGAAAAGCCAGAAAAAAAATTCTGTATAATTTTGTTTATATGAAGTTCAAGAACAGGCAAAATGAATCAATGTTTATTAAAATCAGAATGGTGGTTACTTCTGTGGGGAGATACAGACTCCAAAAGTGCATGAAGGAAGCTTATGCGGTTCCAGAATTATTCCTTATCTTGACCTTGGTGGAGGTACACGGGTGTAGAGAAAAGTAAAAAATTTATCAAGCTGTATAATGAAAACAAATACACTTTATATGCTTTTCTGTGTGTAGGTTACCTTTCATTTAAAAAAAAAAAAGAAAAGAAATTGGGGTGGAATTTCTATGACATCAGAAGGTATTTCTGCCAGAAATTCAGAAATGCCAGAATCCAGCCTCCCTAGTCGCTGTCACCTGTATTTGAGGATTTAAAGAAGCATAACACCAGAAACGACAGCAAAACTGGAATCAAGTACCATTTTGTTCATAACTATGAAAGTACCCGAAGTCCCAAATTCAGTACTCTAGTGCAAGGCGGAGTGGGGTGTGTATTAGTCAGGGTTCTCTAGGGAAACAGAACCGATAGGATATATATATATAGGAAGAGATTTATTATAAGGAATTGACTCATGCAATTATGGATGCTGAGAAGTTCTACAATCTGCCATGTGCAAGCTGAAGACCCAGGAAAGCTGTTGGTGTAATTCAGTATGAGTCCAAAGGCCTGAGAGACAGGAGATCCGAGGGCAGGGAAAGGTCGACATCCTAGCTCAAGCAGTCAGGCAGGAAGTGCTGAATTCTTCCTCCCTTCACCTTTTGTTTTAATTCAGGCCCTCAGTGAATTGGATGATGTCCACCCACATCGGGGAGGGCAAAGCATTTTACAGAGTCCACCAATTCAAATGCTATTTTCATCCAAAACACAGTGACAGACACATTCAAAGTAATGTTGAGCTAAATCTCTGGGCACCTCATGATCCGGTCAGATGGC